CCTTAATGGCAGGAGCTGAGCTGATCTGAAGCCAGGATCCAGGAGCTTCTTCTAGGTCTCCCACACGGGTGCAGTGACTCAAGGACTTAGGCCATCTTCCACTGCTTTCCCAGGGCATAGCAGAGAGCTGGATTGGAAGCAGAGCAGCCAGGACTTGAACTAGCACCCTTACGGGATGCCAGCACTGCAGGTGGTAGCTTTACCCGCTACGCCACAGTGCCGGCCCCAGGAAGACATTCTTAAGTGAGAAAAGGCAGAGGTAAAAGAAATAAATGTGTAAGAAGAAAAGATAAGAACAGAATCCTGGCAGTGTCTATGTCCTTAGTTCTAGCCAGCCCTGAGACCCACATGTATATCAGTTTTCCTACTGTGCTGGATATTTAACTACTGTTTTTTTTTTTTTTTGGTTCTTTTTTTAGATTTATTCATTTTATTTAAAAGGCAGAGTTACAAAGAGGCTGAGTGAGAGTGAGAGAGAGAGAGAGAGAGAGTGAGAGAGAGGTCTTCCAGACGATGGTTCACTCTCCAAATGGCCGCAAGGGCCAGAGCTGCACTCATCCAAAGCCAGGAGCCAGGAGCTTCCTTTGGGTCTCCCACATGGGTGCAGGGGCCCAAGGACTTGGGCTATCCTCTACTGCTTTCCCAGGCCACAGCAGAAAGCTGGATTGGAAGTGGAGCAGCTGGGACTTGAACCGACATCCATATGAGATGCTGGCACTGCAGGCAGCGGCCTTACCTGCCATGCCACAGTGCCAACCCTGGGATGGAATCTCTAGAGAAGCTTTCTCCACTGTTTTTCTATGCCTACCCTTTACACCACTCAGAAAATGTTCATGCTTATTGTGTATGAGACAAGTATGACTCAAGAACACTGGTCCTTTTGAGTGTTAGTGTTTGATAGAGGGAGTCCATATTGCTCAACCATAAATATACATACATACACACACACACGCCACAGCACCAGCCCCTATTTAACTACTTTGAATAGCACAAATTCTTTTGGCCCAACTAAATCAAGCTAAGTTAAGCTCTCTACCAGCTAAGAATTGGAAAAAAATGTGCTAATTCATACAGCTCCCTATTCCCTTCTATTCTAGCATTGTATTGTGATTTTTTTTCTTCTTTACTAAAGTATAAGCAAGTGTGGCCATATACCACTATCTTTGTTTTCCAGCATGATCTTAATAGAAGGCAAATGAGAGATGCCCAATGCCGTGGGAATACAAAAATGTATGTCATTTTGCTGGAACTCTGAGTCACAAGGCCCTATATCTTTTTTTTTCTTTTTCTTTTTTCCAAATGTCTTCTATCATCACTCCTTTTTTATTTGAAAGGTAGAAATATAGAGGGAGAGAGGGATCCTCTATCCATTGTTCACTCCCCAGATGGCTGAAAGGCCAGGACTCTGAAGCCAGGAGTCAGGAGCTTCTTTCTGGTCTCTTGTGTGGATGCAGGGACCCAAGTAGTTGGCCATCTTCCGCTGCTTTCCCAGACCCATTTGCAGGGAGATTGATTGGAAATGGGGCAGCTTGGATATGAACTGACACTCTTACTGGATGCTGGCACTTCTAACTGTGTGGCCCCCGGCAAGTAACTATGAGAATCCACACTTTGCTTTCCTTATGTGTGTAGTAAACATGCTAGGTTAAAGTGTGCTAAGAGCCTTGAGTTCTGAAGTATGCCTGTGAATCTCACGAATTAGGCTGTAGAGCTATATGGGCTTCAGAGATGAGCATTGCTTTTATATCCTTTAAAGGTAATCAGCTTAGAGGTTGTTAACATTTGTGTGTGTGCTCTGAAGTCAGAAAATCTTAGTCTCCAATCCTAGCTCTATTTAATGACTATCAATCTTTGCTTTCTCTTCCATAACATGAAAAACATAAGTTCCCTGTTTGTAGAGTTAATCTGAAGACTAAATGAGGCAATGCACAAACAATGCAAAATACGTTGCCTAACACTCAGTGCCTAGAAAACGTTAGCTCTGTTCCCTAGCTTACACAGTGTAATTACTCAAGAGAGATTTATTGATAATGTTGCCTTATGTATAGGTCTGAAGCAAAAGGAGATAATAAAGTTAGGCAGACACTCTGCAGTCTTCTATTTTAGTACACTTGTTTGAGAGGAAAAAGCAAGATATATTGGCATTTTCATATTCACATACTTCTTCCTAATATATAATTTTTGTGATCTATTTAACAAAAACAAATTTACTGAGGATAAAATCTGAGAAATGCCCTGCATTAGATTCCCTAGTACAAAAGAAAAGAAATGAACACAGTTTGAAACCAAATTACCTGAAACTCAAATCAAGAAATATAACCTGACAAATACTCATGTGATTTTGGGGGTGTTGAGACAGACAGTTTGAAATTGATTGTCACAGAAATGAGAACAGTGTATATATAAGAGGGTCGTTTTCTTCTCAGGTTCCTGTCACATCCACTTCACCGACCAATTTCTCCTCCTTGGTCAAATATAAGCTCTTGCCTATAGTCATTTCCTCTACCTACTGAGTCATGAAATTGTCAGCCACATACAAATACCTTCAATATCACAGCTAAAGTGATACATGCTTGAAAAGATCCAATGGATGTGTCTCAATAGGAATTCAGAGATGAAAAAAGTATATGCAGTGGGCTCCTCTCTTTCCCTTGTAAAGTCTACACTTTCCTGAAACCTTGTCTGTCCAGGGTTTGGCACAATCTGTCATGAGTTGAAGTGCATGTATTATCAAGGTCAGAGACACATCAGTAAAGAACAATGTGGATCTGAAGTGATATTGCTTTACAAATGGCCATAAGTGTTTGATTTTAGAACAAATGTAATTTTAAAAGTTGGGAATGCAAATACCTTTCTCCATTGTTTTCTGGTACAGAAAAATTTTTCTTTAGTTCAAATATTTTTGGAATTCTGTGAAGACATTCAAATTGAACATTGAGTACTTACATGCATGCCAAAATCTTTTTCACATTTTCATGGAATCAAATTTTTAAATGAACCTGCTTCTTTAGCCTGCATATATTGTTTGTTCAAATGATTTTTAAAAATAGATTTAAGTGATTTTTCTTGGCAGGTCTGTAACAGGCAAAGCAAAGATGTCTGTAGGAATTCTTTGGGTCAAAGAGTAAGTGAAGTAACACTAAGTTAGCATAATGGACTGCATTGTGTCCCCCAGCCCACGCAAATTCATATGTTGAAGTCCTAATACCGTGTGTGAAGGCATTTGGAGATGAGGCCTTTGAGAGATAATTAGGTTCAGATGAAGTCATAAGGGCAGAGTCCCTGATATAAGATTAGTGCCCTTTTAAGAAGAGATACCTGAGAACTTACACTGATTCTTCATGCCATGTGATGACACAGGGAGAAGCCAGCCACCTGCAAAACAGAGAAAGACAGCCCCCTCCAAGAAGTTAAGCATGCTAGCTCTCTGATTCAGACTTCTAGCTTCCAGAACTGTGGGAAATAAAATTTTGTACTGTAACTTCTACTGTCTATGTCAGCCCAAACAGACAATACAGTTCCATCTTAGCTTCATGTGTCTATTTTAAAGTTCAGATCTGGAAATCAGGCATAGAGCCCTGAGGTTGAACTCTCTAGAGAAATTCATGGTGAAATACCACTGTGCTATTTGTATGGGTGGCTGAGTGTGTCATGGGACAGATGGATGGGAATAGTGCATGCTGTTCCTATGGTGGGAGCGAAATGGCAAGATGGCTTCACTTATGAGTGAACCTGAGCCAGTCTTGAGGAACTAAGGCCAAGGATACAGCAGGGTTCCACTGAAAGACAACTTTGACTTCTGTCTTGTGGTCAGAGCTAGTAGATGTTTTGTTTCTTCACACCCTTTCCACCAACTTCAGCCATTAAAGTAAAACAATGATTGACAGAGAGGCAAATGAATAGCAATTCCAAGGTCTACCCATGGAGGGCCTTGTTCCTTGTACTCAGCTGAAGGTTTTCTGTGATTATCTTAGTAAAAAAAAAGTCCTTTTCTATCCAATAATTCTTTATTTTTTTAACTTTTATTTACTAAATATAAATTTCCAAAGTACAACTATTGGATTAAAGTGGCTTTTTCATCCCATAACTTCCCTCCCACCTGCAATCTTCCCATCTTCCACTCTCTCTCCCATTCCATTCACATCAAGATTCATTTTCAAATATCTTTACATATAGAAGATCAATTTAGTATATATTAAGTAAAGATTTCAACAGTTTGCACCCACACAGAAATACAAAGTATAAAGTACTGTTTGAGTATTAGTTACAGCATTAATTCACATTGCACAACACATTAAGGACAGAGATCCTACATGGGGAGTAAGTGCACAGTGACTCCTGTTGTTGATTTAACAATTGACACTCTTGTTTATGGCATCAGTAATCACCCTAGGCTCTTGTCATGAGTTGCCAAGGCTATGGTAGCCTTTTGAGTTCGCTAACTCCAATCTTATTTAGCCAAGGTCATAGTCAAAGTGGAAGTTCTCTCCTCCCTTCAGAGAAAGGTACCTCCTTCACCTCCTTCTTTGATGGCCTGTTCTTTCCATTGGGATTTCACTTGCAGAGATCTTTCATTTAGTTGTTTTTTTTTTTTTTTTTTTTTTTTGCCAGAGTGTCTTGGCTTTCCATGCGTAAAATACTCTCATGGGATCTTCAGCCAGATCTGAATGCCTTAGTAAGGGCTGATTCTGAGGCCAGGGTGCTATTTAGGACATCTGTCATTCTAGGAGTCTGCTGTGTATCCAGCTTCCCATGTTGGATGGTTCTCTCCTTTTTAATTCTATCAGTTAGTATTAGCAGACAGTAAAAAAAGTCCTTTAACTTAAGTGTTTTCTTTTTTTTTTTTTTAAAGATGTATTTATTTGAAAGTCAGACTTACACAGAGAGAGGAGAGGCAGAGAGAGGGAGAGAGAGAAAAAGAGAGAGAGAAAGTCTTCCATCTGAATTTTCACTCCCCAATTGACCACAACAACTGGAACTGCGCCGATCTGAAGCCAGGATCTAAGAGCTTCTTTGTGGTGGAATGAGAAGGCCATGGCCAAGGTAGCCACTGGCAAGCAAGTGTCAGTTACTCAGGAATGGCTTTGAAACCCACCTGGCAATGGAGTCTGCCTGGCAACAGGCTGTGATTGGTTGGGGCATAGACCGCCCCTTGACTAGATTGGCTGGTCTTGGCTAGATAAGATGTTGTTCCAACTGTAATAAATGAGTCTGCGGGCTGCTCGCCTCAAGCCTGCTTTCACCCAACTCCCAGGGTCTGTGTGGTGACTCCGCACCTCTTGCCCCCACCACGCTGCTCCTCTCAGAAATTAATCCACTGCAACATTGTTGAGAAATCAACAGCAACATTTCTTCTAGGTCTCCCATGGGGGTGCAGGGTCCCAAGGACTTCTACTGCTTCCCCAGGCCACAGCAGAGAGCTGGATCAGAAGTGGAACAGCTGGGTCTTGAACAGGTACCCATATGGAATGCCAGCGCTTCAGGCCAGGGCCTTAACCTGCTGCGCCACAGTGCAGGCCCCAAGTGTTTTCATCTCAGTTTAGAGGGGTGCAGAGTGAAGGCTGTGGAGCAAGCTTGGTTGAACTGCCCAGAATCACACAGTTGGTAAGCCAGGGCTGCACATTAAATCCAGGGGCATCCCATGTTTGCATCTTGCTGGGTGCTCTCAGCTGCTACACCAGCTTTTTGGTTATTTGCTTTAAGGTATTAAGAAGAGATCTTCATCCACCAGCAGCATCCGCTGTAGACTGCAAAGACACCCATACTAAGGGAGGAGCTTGTGCCCAGGAGGGAGCAAAAATCCCAACACTCGCCTTGAGCTGCTGTCCCTACCTCTTTGTAACAAAAAGGAGTGGAGTTTAACAATGACTATCCCATAAGCAGAGCAGCTGAGGTTTGATGTTTTGTGGAGTATATGATTGGAGAAATGATTCCAAGAATAACATTATAATAAGTTTAATTAGCACAACATATTTTTGTGTTCAATTCAATTGTTAACGACACAGATGATATACTGATTTTGAGATATATAAAGTAAAAATTGACAGTATTACAGAGAGAAATTAATCAATTCCTTATTAGATTTTTAATAGATCTCCAGTAATTGATAACACAATGAACTGATGAATGCAATTAACATATCTAATCTAAAATATGTTTATAGCATCTGGCTTAAAGACTCAGAGAATACATATTCTTCACACAGGATATTTATAGGAATTAATGATATTCTAGATTTAGATTGCAAAGTAACTCTTAGTAAATTTTAAAGACTTTGAAATATGTAGATCAGGTTGCATGTACTACCATGCAGTTGACTTAAAATCAGTTACAAGAAGACAATGAGATCCCTGTTCAATTATAAAAATGTTAAGACATATTCTTTATAATAGAAAAATATTTTTAGATATTTACTATTATTTAGAACTGAACAATAAATGAAATTCTACACCTCCAAAGTTGTATGTTTTCAGAATTATATAAAAAGAAATACATAGCATTCAAAGAAAAAGAAAAAAAAACCCAAAGTAATGAATTAAATGACTAACCAAAAAAATTAGGAAACTACATACAAAATAAAGTCCATAGAAGTAGAAGAAATTCATAAAAATAGGATAACTTACAAATAGGAAAATATGCAATAGTAGAAATAAAGTCAGAAGTTCTCTCTTTGAAGTAATTAAAAAAGCAATTGGTAGCACCAATTTAGAAAAGAAGAGGACATGAAGAACCACATATGGATTGAATAAAGGAAGGCTCATTAAGAATAGAATCAAGATTAAAATGTGAAAGTACAATGAATTATAATGAGTCTTCAACAAGTTCATGGAAAATGCATATTGTAAAACAAACTATACATGGATTTCAAAAATTTTTTGCACCAAAATAAACTCTTAATTTCTTTTTTCTGTGATCTGTTAAAATGACCTCCCATTTCTCCCATTTTTGTTATTGAATTTTTAAAATTTTTTATGAAAGTTGCAAACATCCATCAAATAGCCAAGTAGAACACACACTATTATCTAAACTCTTAGGCAATCAAGCTGTTGAGAATGAGGACTTTAGGACTGGCAATGAAAATAGGGAAAATTCCATAGGGGATGCTAAGGAATCTGGAAAAGTAAGGGAGAATAAAATATACATAACTGTATTTCTTTCAAAATATGCGTTTGTCTATGTTTAGTCCCTTTGATCTGAATGTTACCAGGTCACTCCTTCCTGCCAATGCTTCTAACAAGGCCATTGTTGTCTTTCTAATTGCTCACTCCATGGCCTATTTTCTCTTTTTGATCTTTTTACTTTCTATTTTTTTATTTTTTGTTAAGTGATTACTTCATTATGTAGGTTCAGACATTTTGCCATTTAAGTATCTAATAAAACATACCAACCACAAGCAGGGGAAACCTGGAATACCTGATTATAGGGGTGGTAGGTAGGGAAGACTCACTATGTTCCCAAATTTGTATGTATTAAACACATGAATATTGAATATATTAAAAATACAATATAATATATTGTATATATTAAATGCATGAAGTTGACCTTTTCTACTTTTGTGCAATACTTGCCACTCTTGATCTCCCTCTCTCCTCTCCTCCACTTCCTTCCCTCTGTCCCACACCCTCTTATTTTTCCTCCCCTTCCTCCTTACTACAGGAATCTCTCCTGAATTTCAATAATACCCTCTACTCACAGGTAGCATGTCCTTTTACTCTCCTTGGAAATGTTCTCCTTTTCTGGAGCACTAAACTCTCATTTGATGATGTTGTAAACTTGTGAGTATTCTGCTACTAACTTTACCATCCTCTTACACAAATTCGTCTTCATTGCTGATTCTTTCACTTTAAAAATAATTTACATATGTGTCTCCTCTTCCCTACTACCTTTGCTATTACCTTTGTTCCAGCTTCAGAGGCTCACTTTTTTTCCTGCTGCCTATTTGAGCATTTCTAGTATATTTATGCTCCCAAGCAAAATAAGTATGTAAATAAATTTTAATGATTTAATTAAAAAGTGGTTAATGTATATTGAGCTAAACTTACATCTTGTGGTTTGATTGTTGTCTACCACAAGGAAGGGTTACGCAGGAAACAGGAGTTTGGTAGAATTTGACTCAGGCATATATCTGGACCAACGCATGCCTAGTGTGTATGAAGGGCAGATATGAAAACATTATGTCTTTAGCAGCTATTAATATGGTAGATACTCATAATTCTCTCTCTCTTTTTAAGCAGTTTCTTAAAGACCATACTACTTTTTCTTTGTTGTTTATTACCTGACTCACCCTTTTAGACTATAGGCTTCAAAGAATTCTATTTCAAGAACTAATATCCTTAGAAGCATGAACACTACCAAGAATGTTTATGTGCTCAGTAACTATTTATGAGCTAACCGCCTTTAATCAATAAGCTATAAAGTTTTGGCAAAACGTCCAAATCACGCCTAAGATCCTGTGGTGCTATGCCCTGAATGCAGCTCGCTGACCCTTGATTGTTCAAGGAGTCAGTCAGGAGAATCTGGGCTCTAGAAATAAAATCTAACCACTAGAGAGAGCTTATTCTCAGTCTGTTTAAATTTAATGGTTTTTGTGTTGAATAGCATCTGTATAGAGCACGTGGAATAATATATTTAACATTTGAAATTTAAGGTCTCACCAGCTGCCTTTTTGTGAATGGACAAATGCATTTTCATTTGGAATCTTCAGGTTACTGTGCATTCACATCCAGGATGGTGTGTGTGTTGTGTCACAGACGGAAGAGGAAGAGGGGGAAAGTGCACACACACTTCAACAGATTTTAGCACACATTTTTATTCAGAGAATGGAAGGCTCAGGGTGATATGTATGGCAGCCTTCTATGTCTTCCTCTTTGATCTCAATGACTTTTACATATTTTGAGGGGTGATTACCATGGTAACTATCAAAAATTTCTAAAGCTTTGTAACTCTGTATTCTTATGTAGAGAAAAAAGGGACCTCCTATCGATTAGCTTCCAGTCTTAGTAATTATACACAAAGTTTATTTTAAATAATGAAAAAAGTACAGACTTATATTGTTACTATAGTTCTGTATAATCCAGGTCAACTTGTCTTTATCACTCAGAAACTCAGAACTGGATTTGGATTTCAAAAGGAAAATATCAAATTTGATGTCTCAATACAATGATTTTGTCTTATGGATACATCTCCTGAATTTAACTATATTTCTTATTTTATGCTTAAAACATTTTAACTCTAATATACAATGAGAATAATATTTTAAGTATTTCATATGATATGAATTACACTTATGACAAATGTTATCAAAACATTACAGAGATTAGTCTATGCTAGAGACTATTTTACCACCTACTGTGTTTTAAAAATTGACAACTACACACTGAGACAAAAATTATGAAAACATACTTGGTATGCTTGGAACTAGAGGCTCGTCTTTGTTGTTCAAATATGCTACAAATATAGAGTGGAGAATTGAGATACATTTTGGTTTTTCACTGCCATGCATAATATGTTGAAATACAATTACCAATTGGATCTCTTCCTGTGCTGTCCATATTTGCACAATATGCCTTCTGCTAGGTATGATAATAAATGATAAAAATTACACCAATTGGTGGCAATGTTGTTTTCACAGCGATGGTCAGTTATTTAAAACCACAGGGCTCTGCTGATTTTCTGCTTATAAACTCTGTTATTTTGAGTTTCTAACTTGTGCTACAAGTTATTTCTGGCTCAAAAATGAAGCCAGGTTTTTTTGTTTTTTTTTTTGTAACCCCCAAGTATTCATCTTGTTATCTTTAAATTTTTTTCATTACTGAAGGAAAACTAAACATGAAATAATAAATTGCAGGTTTGTGTGGCTGAAAAAGCAAATTCTGAAGACCACAAGAAGCTATGTCAAACATTGCCTGCCCCATCAAGAAATTACACACACACGTGGTGGGCAGCAATTTCGTATTCTGGTTCTCAAATGCCTTTCATCTGGTGTTCTGTTTCAGAACTTATTACTCAATCAGCAGAATATGTGATAGTTAGTGAAAACTTCCCTGAACATCATTTTTTATCCAACCAAAATCAGAAAGCTTTCCAAAATAAGCAATTGATGAAGTTTAACTGTTTATAATCATTGCATGTGTAGATTGGACAGAAGGGATACAAGAATACAGCGGGCAGTGAAATTGAACACATTGATTCACTGGGGTAAAGTTGTGCTAGAATTCTTCACTCTCTGGCTCAAATTTCAGATCCTTAAAAAAATATCTCAAAACATACCACAGTTTGAATTATTCTTTCTATCTCTTACCAACTTTTAAGACATTTTATTTATATATTTACCACTATCCTTAATCACAGCTTGCTTTATACTGATTGTTTATTCACATGTTAATCTCATTAGCTATCAATAATTCAACAAATTTACTGGACACAAGTCATGTACTATCATCCTATTAGATATCAGTGGTTTAGTTTACATGATTGTTATTTCTAGGATCATGTATTTGTTGACTGTGATGAAATTTGAACCTTCAGTTTTAAATTTTAATTGAGAGAGAGAGAGAGAGAGAGAGAACAGGGAACAGGGAACAAGTACTTGATCCATCATCTACTGTCACCCAAGGTGTGCACTAGCAAGAAGCTGAATCAGGAACAGATCTGGGACTAAACACAGGCACTTGAATATGGGATGCTAGACAAATCCCTGTCCTTTAAAAAAAAATGATCCTTCATCTTTAAATGATGATGGTGGTGTGCTTGTTTCTTGAATAAATGTAAGTGTCAAGAAGCAAATAGGTGAATTATAAAAGATTGGGCTTATTCAAAATAGGAATAAAACAAGTGATGGGACTGACAAATAGAGCCAGCTTTGCACAGAAGATAGGAAGTTGAGAAAACCATATACTAAGAATAACACAAACAACAACCACCACATTTATTGTTCTAAAGCTTTGCTAAGCATATGCTATTGATCAACTTATGTAATCCTGCCAACATTTTCCAAGGTGGTCATTAGTATCCTTTTACAGGTGAGGAATATTATGTATGTTATTATTAATTGCCTGTCTAAGCACTGTTTCCTAATTTTTGTTTTCCTTCAGATCCCTGATTTGGTCAAATACTCACATTTCCTCAACACAGATCAAATGCTACCATATGGGGAAACTGCGGCCATCTTCAGCTCTAGAGAAGTCTCAGGTAGTTTGTTGATAACTCCATTTCTTGACAGTAATTTCTTTAGGAACTCAGGCCTAAGATGTTTCAGCTCATGTCATTGTCTGGTCCTAGGAATTGATTGAGGACAGGCACATTATACAGTTCAGACAGAAAACTCAGGGGCTTCTGGGAAAGGAGAGAGCAATCCCAAAAGCTTATCTCCCATTTTTCTCTCAATTTAATATGGAACAGATATGGAGCCAGAAGCTGCCACAGACATTTTGCCACTATGAATAATTTGGGAGGACTTCCAATTAGATGAACCAATGTATTCACTCTCTTTAAACATCAAACCAACTTTTTTTCTTTTGTATGTTGATTTGTTACTTGTTGCTGAAAGCATCCTGAATGACACATACATGATGCATGCAACAGATTACATGGTTTTTCCAAAGTCTGACATATGGTAAATTAAGGACCAGTCTCAAACTCAAGTTCATGTGAGTAGAAGCTCATGCTCTAAGCATTTTTCTGAATTAACTCCAAGTAGTATCCAGGAGTTAATTGAATGCGTTTGTGAATCTTCTACAAATGCATCTATACTTTTGCTGAGCCAATTTGGGATTCCCAAACAGACTTTTGCTTCTGTCACTTTTATTGATGACTTCTCCCCAGTGTTCAGTCTCTTTGACACCCTGGCCTGTTATCACAAGCCCGTTCCTTCCTCCTGTCTCCAGTGACTGGTACCACTTTCTTAATCTGGGTAAATACTGCAAGGCTACTTCACCTCAGATCAATCTCTCAGGATTGCAAAGACTAATCAGTCTCTGAGACTCTTCAGATCACCGCCTCTGTCCATGTGAACTCAGAGGCTCAGTCTCCTAAGAAATGCCATAGCAATCTTACTTGGCTTAGAGTTCATTCTTTCCCATGACACTGTGATTGGAGCTGCTGTTCTATGTTTTATTTATACCAAATATAGTAGTTTCCAGGGTTTTCCTTCTTTTGCCAGCCCAGTCTTTAAGATCCCGTGCCTTGCAGCTGAAGTGGGACTTGGCTAGGACAGCATACACATTATATTCAATGATGCATCATGTTGTATATCACTATCATAGAAGCTAGCATACTAATAAGAATTACAATTAGGGGCCGGTGCTGTGGCACAACGGGTTAATGACCTGGCCTGCAGTGCCAGCATCCCATATGGATGCCAGTTGGAGACCCAGCTGCTCCACTTCTAATCCAGCTCTTTACTGTGACCTGGGAAAGAAGTAGAAGATGGCCCAAGTTCTTGGGCCCCTTCACCCACGTGGGAGACCCAGAAGAAACTCCTGGCTCCTGTCTTCGGACTGGAGCAGCTCTGGCCTTTGCAGTCAATTGTGGAGTGAACCATCATATGGAAGACCTCTCTCTCTCTCTCTCTCTGCTTCTCCTCTATGTGTAACTCTGACTTTCAAATAAATAAATAAATCTTTAAAAAAAGAATTATATTTAATGTATAAAGAATGCAGTTGATACTAAAATTATAATAATCCAAATTTCATTGACAGGGGGAAGAAAATATGAAAATAATAAGAAAGAAATTAATACAATGGAAATATTATATCTCATTTTTATCAATCTTCTGAGAACTCACTGTGGTTAATGTTTTCCCTCTGCCATGCCTCCTAACTCTACCTCCAAAAGGTTTGTGCTGGCTTCTTTTAAGAGTCAGGGTTTCTGACTCATAAATATGAAAAATAGAGACACAAATAGCTGATGTATTGAATTGCCCTAAGGACATAATGAAGTTATCTTGGCAGATGAATCAAATGATAGTTCTTAAGGAAAAATCAGGAAAATAATCTAATGTTTATACAGCATTGCCAAGAGTCACATCTTTTAAGATTTCAAAGGAGAAACTGCCTGGAAAATTTGATAAATGTATGTTGACATCCTAAAAAAGAGTAGCCATTCAATTACTTCCATACTATATCAGCTGAACCAGGAGATGAAAAGCATATGGCTGGAAAATGCCCCCAAGTTCATGAGGCCCTTGACTTTTCTAAAATATTTGATATTAATATCCTTTTCAAGTTGGTCTCAAAGAATTTCCTCTTGACCAAGAAATCTAAAGAGGGAGGAGGAGACCAACCTAGGAGTTGATTCAGATGAAATACTTGGATCTTTTTATTTATATATTCATTTATTCATTCATTCAGATGGTCAGTTATTAATCAACCCTGCAGAAATTTCATAGGCATTTACTTTACAACAGATTCCATGTGAGGCTTCAAATCAACCAAAACAAATCAAAAAAGGTTTTCCTTTAAGAAACTTACTTTGTATATACTGAGGAGAGGGATTTGACTTCTATAATTACTCACTACAATGCATTAGGACTGACAGGTGCCTTACTAAAGACCTAAAAATGATGTTACTGTGAAGAGAATTAACTAAGCCCTCCGGGAAAGTAGACACAAATAAATCATATTTACAGAGATATAGGGGAAGAGTAAATCTTCACTATGCAAAGTGGAAAGAATTACAGGATAGAAGAAAGTGATATGGTGGCATGAAGCAGCTTGTGGGACTTTGGGGATATTGGCTTAGCAAGCCCTCAAAAGAGAAAGACTAGGAAGTTGGAAAGATCAATGAGGATGAACCATAGAGAACCATGAATGAAGACATTAGATTTATGAGGACTAGGCTAACTTTGTTTTGGAGAATGATGCCATAAAAAGTTGTTGACTTAACAATTGACACTCTTGTGTATGGCATCAATAATCACCCTAGGTTCTTGTCATGAGTTGCCAAGGCTATGGAAGCCTTTTGAGTTCACCGACTTCAATCTTATTTAGACAAGGTCATAGTCAAAGTGGAAGTTCTCTCCTCCCTTCAGAGAAAGGTACGTCCTTCTTTGATGGCCCATTCTTTCCATGGGATTTCACTTGCAGAGATCTTTCAGTTAGGTGTGTGTGTGTTTGTTTGTTTGTTTGTTTGTTTGTTTTTTGCCAGAGTGTCTTGGCTTTCCATGCGTAAAATACTCTCATGGGATCTTCAGCCATATCTGAATGCCTTAAGGGCTGATTCTGAGGCCGGGTGCTGTTTAGGACATCAGCCATTCTAGGAATCTGCTGTGTATCCAGCTTCCCATATTGGATGGTTCTCTCCTTTTTAATTCTATAGTTGGTATTAGCAGACAGTAGTCTTGTTTGTGTGATCCCTTTGACTCTTAGTCCTATCATTATGATCAATTGTGAATTGAAACTGATCACTTTGGCTAGTGAAATTGCAATGGTAAAAGCCACCTTGATGGGATTGAATTGGAATCCCCTGGCACGTTTCTAACTCTGCCATTAGGGGCAAGTCCAATTGAGCATGTCCCAAATTGTACATCTCCTCCCTCTCTTGTGAAAAACCCACAGCCAGCATCTTATTGAATGGGGAAAAGTTGGAAGCATTTCCACTGAGATCTGGTACCAGACAGGGATGCCCACTCTCACCACTGCTATTCAATATAGTTCTGGAAGTTTTAGCCAGAACCATTAGGCAAGAAAAAGAAATTAAAGGGATACAAATTGGGAAGGAAGAACTCAAACTATCCCTCTATGCAGATGATATGGTTCTTTATTTAGGGAACCCAGAGAACTCCACTAAGAGACTATTGGAACTCACAGAAGAGTTTGGCAAAGTAGCAGGATATAAAATCAATACACAAAAATCAACAGCCTTTGTATACACAGGCAATGCCACGGCTGAGAAAGAACTTCTAAGATCAATCCCATTCACAATAGCCACAAAAACAATCAAATACCTTGGAATAAACCTAACCAAGGATGTTAAAGATCTCTATGATGAGAATTACAAAATCTTACAGAAAGAAATAGAAGAGGATACCAAAAAATGGAAAAATCTTCCATGCTCATGGATTGGGAGAATCAATATCATCAAAATGCCTATTCTCCCAAAAGCAATTTATAGATTAAACGTGAGTTGAATCTTCTTCGTAGATCTGGAAAAAATGATGCTGAAATTCATATGGAGACACAGGAGACCCCGAATAGCTAGAGCAATCTTGTACGACAAAAAGAAAGCTGGAGGCATCACAATACCAAATTTCAGGAGATAATACAGGGCAGTTGCAATCAAAACAGCATGGTACTGGTACAGAAACAGATGGATAGACCAGTGGAACAGAATGGAAACACCAGAAATCAATCCAAACATCTACAGCCAACTTATTTATATTTGATCAAGGATCTATAACCAATCCCTGGAGTAAGGATGGTCTATTCAATAAATGGTGCTGGGAAAACTGGATATCCACATGCAGAAGCCTGAAGCAAGACCCCTACCTTTCACCTTACACAAAAATGCACTCAACATGGATTAAAGACTTAAATCTACGACCCGACACCATCAAATTATTAGAAAACATTGGAGAAACCCTGCAAGATATAGGCACAGGCAAAGACTTCTTGGAAAAGACCCCAGAGGCACAGGTAATCAAAGCCAAAATTAACAATTGGGATTGCATCAAATTGAGAAGTTTCTGTACTGCAAAAGAAACAGTTAGGAAAGTGAAGAGCAACCGACAGAATGGGAAACAATATTTGCAAACTATGCAACAGGTAAAGGATTAATAACCAGAATATACAAAGAGAACAAGAAACTCCACAACAGCAAAACAACCCACTTAAGAGATTGGCCAGGTTCCTCAATAGACATTTTTCAAAAGAGGAAATCCTGCTCTATATTTTAAGGGAAGTATTGACCCTAAGAATAAGTAACAGAGTACCAAAGGCTTCCAAGATATGATTATTTTTCTTTTTTTTTTCTTGACAGACAGAGTTAGACAGTGAAAGAGAGAGAAAGGTCTTCCTTCCATTGGTTCACCCCCAAAATGGCCGCTATGGCCAGTGCGCTGTGCTGATCTGAAGCCAGGAAGCCATGTGCTTCCTCCTGGTCTCCCATACAGGTGCAGGGCCCAAGCACTTGGGCCATCCTCCACTGCCTTCCCGGGCCACAGCAGTGAGCTGGACTGGAAGAGGAGCAACCAGGACAGAATCCGGCTGTTCTAGTCCTGACCCGGACTAGAACCCAGGGTGCCGGCGCCGTAGGCGGAGGATTAGCCTAGTGAGCTGCGACACTGGCCGATTATTTTTTCTAATGGGAGGCTCATAAGACCTCTGGACATTTCTGGTCACTGATATTTCTAGCAGATCTGCTCTGGAGAAATTTCCTGAGAAATCTACCGAGAGGAATTTTGTATTCATTCAAAGCCTGCACTAGATATATTTAACTGAAAACTGAAAAATTACACATATCTCCATAATGTAGTGGAAATTTAGCCTCTATGTTGCTGTATGCCACAAACCTGATGAGTTTTTGAAAGTATTTTTATTTATTTATTTGAAAGGCAGAATTAGAGATAGATTTATCCACTGGTTCACTCCCCAAATTGCTGCAATTACTGGGGCTGGATCAGGTTGAAGCCAGGAGCCAGGAGTCTCTCCCGGGATGCCCACATAGTTTCAGGGGCCCAAGCACTTGGGCCATCCTCTTCTGCTTTCTCAGGCACATTCGCAGGGAGCTGGATCGGAAGTTGTGCAGCCAGGTTTTGAACCTGTGCCCATATATGATGCTATCATGGCAGGCAGCAGTGTAACCCACTATGCCACAATGCTGGCCCCTCCTAACCATGTTATAACTAAAGATATGTGTATCAATTCTTCCAGGAGCTATTTTTGTATCAATATTCATGCATGTTAGCAATCTTTTATATTCCCTTGGTAAGGCATGAATGTTCGTTTTTGCATCTCCTCCAACTGTTTTGTCTAATCAGCTTCCTCGGACAAGTGGACAGAAGACATTTGTTGAACAGCCTGTGATAAAAGCTGCGAGGAGCGTTTGGGGTTGCTTTTCATGCCAAGTTTATGCAGTCGCAGAAGAAATTAGATATGCATGTTATACTGAGGGCATCTCATTTGGAGACTAAGCTGGTGCTTTTGAAACAATGCTAATTGTCCAATTAGAGTCTGTGTAGACCATAGAGCTCCTTATGAATGAAAATCAAGCATGGATTTCATTTAGACAAATTCCTTGAAGCAGGATTAACAATACACAGGTTGAAGGAAATTGCTGCTGGCAGTAGTCTTTTAAAGATTGTTGCAGCCAGAATTTAATGATTGTATAGTCAAATTCCTTACTTTATAAAGAGAGATGTTAAGACTGCAAAGATGAAATGGTTTCCCTACTGTTGATAGAGGTCTCATGGTCCCAGCACTGTGCTCATGCCCATCCCAAGGTCTGTTTTTGGATTTTTATATATTCTTTCATTTTAGAGTTGATCTCAGTGTTGCGCTTAACAGCCAACATGTGGTGATTTATAGTAATAGTACCACATTTACTTGAAGTTTTGCTGGTGTATTGAAACTGGGATTCTTTATCAGCTTGTCATTTTTATTTCAGATTGCTTTCTTTCAATGACTTTCAGAATGAATTTTATCACAAAATTAGTGAACAGGAGGGTTCACTTGTAAACTATTTGCATTTTCTTGATTGGCTCAGAGACTGGGGTATTGGTCTAAAAAATGTAGTTTTTTTTTCTCTCTCAGAATATCAGAATTGATTTCTTTATGCCACCACTACAGCATATAACAGTTACGAAATTTATACTCAGATATTTAAATCAAGAGTCACAAACTTAAACATTTATATGATATAGGCAGGACTCTGGCGAAAGACAAAAGGACTAACTTATCTGTATTCCAACAAAACTTAGACTATTTCACATTCCATTTTTAAAAAATGAAGAAGTCTAAGTAAAACACTGGAAGGCAAGGTCCTGGAAAGGCTTTGCAATCTTGACTGTAAGTTAAATCCAGTGTTTGATACACAAATCACTTCATGGATTCCCAGATTAGGACCCAGCTTTCCTAAATCTCAGTGCCAGACTCTTTCCATTCCACCATATGGCTTTTCCTGCCTTCCAACTTAAAGCTACTCTGTTATTTAAATCCGTCATCTATGTTGGTGAGGACAAATTACATTGAAAAGTTTTTGTTGGCAGTGTGAGTCAGGCAATAATAAAAAGTATTTGGAATTTTCTTGACTTTTCATTTCAAGAACTCATGTGAGTGCAAGTGCATGTGTTTTTGTGTATCTGTGTTTGTGGGTTCTATGCTCACATGTATCTCTGTGTCTATGTATGTAAATGTACCTGCATGCATGTATGCATCTGTGTATTTGTTAGCCTGGCACATGACCTGAATTTCTTTTCTATGTCACCCTCTTAGTTGTATGGGAATAGATTTTACATGCTTCTATAGTTTCTATGTCCATATATTTGTAATGATTATTTCTCTAATTCATTGTGGCATATTTCCCATATGTATAAATCAACAGTTAAGTGCACATTGTTAAAGTTTTTCTTCAATACTATAGATTGGGGCAGACTCTAGAGACTGATAAAGTCATCTATCATTTTTTTCATCTGATTTTACATATTCCTGAATGGTTGTTCAGTAGACACCAAATATATTTTAATTACATATTTTGTGCTGCCTTTGCCAATTAGGGAAGTGTTAGATTTGATGAAATTTGATAACTTTTACTCTAATGTTAAAAACCAGGATGTACCAAAACACACTTCGCTTTTTCTTGTGTAAGAAAAGATTTTCTTCTAGCAGTACTTGTCTGTGCAACTACTCTCTTAAATTTTATTTATTTGAGAAAGTTGGGGTGGATTTTTCATCCAATGGTTCACTCCTCAAATGGCTACAACAGCTGGGGCTGGACCAAATTAAGGTCAGGAGCCCAACACTCAAGCCAGATCTTCTATATGGTAGCAGGGACCTGACCACTTGAACCATCACCTACTATATCCTAGAATGTGCATTAGCAGGAATTTGGAATTGGAACCAAACCTGGGACTAGAATCTAGGCACTCTGGAACCCATGTCCCAAATGGTGATTTAACATCGCACCAAATTTGCACCCCTAGAAACAAATCTTTGCTCTTAATATTTTCTAGAGCAAACATCAAAACCATAGAGGAAATTGATAGACCACTGGGCCATTCTGAGTGAATTTGTGTGACCTTCAAGCACAAATAAGAAGAGAAGAAAAAGAGCTTTATCTTTGCAGAAACTCAACATCACATCAACTGTGATGATCCAGTAATGTTTGCATTGAAACCTACATGAGTATGTTCTAATACTCAATTTAACTGCTTAGTAAAGTCAGACAATAATTAAAAACTGGCTACAACCAAATAGTCCTAGGTATAGGAACTAACAGGCTACTGGCTATCTCAAAGATAGCTTAAATTTTCAAGAGACTTATGAATGTCTAGACCAAAGTGGGTAATCCCTGACTGTGTCCACCTACATCATGTTCCACACACTTGGTAGAAAGGAAAGGAAGGGGAAGATTTTGTATGGACATGACATGTGATACGGATGTACTACATTTCCCACAAAATAATTACATATTCAGATGCTTGGTAATTCCAAAGATCAATAGTTATTGGTGTTTGGAGTTGTTTAGATGTTTCTGGATGGGGCCAGTGCTGTGGCATAGGAGGTAAAGCTGCCACCTGCAGTGCTGGCATCTCACATGGGTGCCGGTTTGAGACCCAGCTGCTCCACTTCCAATCTAGCTCTCTGCTGTGACCTGAGAAAACAGTGGAAGATGGCCCAAGTCCTTGGACCCCTGCACATGCATGGGAAGACCTGGAGGAAGCTCCTGGCTCCTGGTTTTGGATCAGCACAGCTTGGCCATTGTGGCCAATTGGGGAGTGAACCAACGGATAGAATACCTCTCTCTCTCTCTCTGCCTCTCCGTTTCTGTGTAACTCTGGACTTCAAATTGATGAATAAATCTTTTAAAAAAAGATGCTGCTGGGGTGCCCACATCTCACATTGGAATGCCTGGTTTTTAATTCTCATTCTATTCTTGATTCCAGGTTCCTGCTAATGAACACATTGGGAGGAACAGGTGATGACTCAAGTAAGTACTTGGTTCCCTCCTACTCACATGGGAGACTTATGTTGAGTTCTTGGCTCCCGACTTTGTCCTGACCCAGCTGATGCTGTTGTCGGCATTTAGGAAGTGAAATCAAATGCATTTATGCCAACTTTAGAATTGACAGGAAAAAATTACAAACTAATGGAATGGAAGTCTGAAATAGTGTATTTCATGGTGGCTGACAATGTTAAGGACATGAGTGGGACAAAAATGATCACAATTTATTGAAATACCAAAGCTTGTTAGTAGTAGAGGGGGAAATAAATTACTGATCTTCTATTCCAAAATGAGGATCCATTCTATGATTCATTCAATAGATGTACAATAAACTGAAAACTCATTATATAACAGCCAATAACCTGGACACTGCGGCTATCATGGGATATAAGACAGGGTTCTTGTTTTCAAAGATTAAAATCCAATGATGAAAATAATAAGCTGTTCAACTAATTGCAATGTCTGCTGTGGTGAGTACTGAGAGAGATTCAAGTACAGAAAGCCACTGATAGCTTAGAGAAGGGACATGGCACATGGATGGAGGCAATTGTACCATTTTTTAAAGACTTATTTATTTACTTGAAAGGTAGCATTGCATAGAACGAAATCAGTGTCCATATGGAATGCTAGTACCACAGGCAATGGCTTTACCTGCTATGTGCCACAGTGCTGGCCCCTGCTGTACCATTTTTGAAAAGAACCATACTTGCTGAAGTTCTGAAGGATATACTGGCATTTTTCAGAAAATAAGACATGAGGAGCAGCAGAGAGTGAAAGTGCAAGAACTCAGAGATAAGGAGGACTAAAATGACAAGTAGAGTGAGTCAACCTTGGTTATCTGGGTGAAATTCAGGCTTACTGGTGAGCAGATTGAGAAGCACGAAGTGATGAGAGACCAGCTAGAGATTCACAGGGGACCTTGTTTGCCCTACCTCTTCCCTTTCCAGCACATTTGGCTATATCTGAGCAAAAAAGTCAGACTGCCCAAGCTTTCTAATCAGGCAAATCCTGCTATTCTTGGTGTCTGAGTGCAGCCAGACCCGCTAATGCGTCTCACTTTGACCTTTTGTTTTTCAGGAGAGGAGTCAGGGTCTTGAAGACTGTCAAGGGATTCCTTGACTTTAACTTACAGAGCATCAGGTCTGCAATTAGTTAGGTTTGGGCACTTGGCACTGAGTTTGGCAAAGGAAAAATCCCTCTGCTGACAGGGGAATAGCGTTCCAGAAGGTGTTAGGCTCTCAGCTCCTTGCCAAGATTCTTTAGGCACCAGTACTGAAAGATGAATAGAGCACATCGATGTACCCCATAATTCAATATTAGGTAAAGACATGCTAGTCTACTTTTTGCCTTGTTTTACTGAATCAAGCTTGTTTTATGAGCAGGATACACTTTCTAATATTTCTGTGGTTTGACTTAAACTCATGTTTGTTAATTTGTCAGCTAGACTCTATCAAACAGACCCAATAATCTGGCTCATTAAATACAAACTTGAGCACTATATATTACTTTAAATTGGCTATCTCTGGATTTCCAAGAATTCCACATGTAGCTGCAGAAACTACCTTTGTCAGTTACATCAATCATATTAAGGGGGAATCAGATTGTCTAGAATATTTAAGATGCATTGATTGATGTACTTGCAAAGGATAGCATAATGATCCATGATGGGAGATGAGTAATGCAAGATAATTCTGAGGGTTAAATGATTTATTTTAGAGAATATCTAGAAGAAGATCATGGGTGACTCCCTTCTTGTCAGACTACAAATAATTAGTTAATGGTTTCCTTATAACATGCAGTGAGTCAAAGCTGTAATCTGGGGCTGGTGTTGTGGCATAGTAGATAAAGCTACTGCCTGCCATTCCAGCCTCTTATACAAGTGCCGGTTCATGTCATGGTTGCTACACTTTAGATTCAGCTCCCTGTGAATGGCCTGGGAAAAGCAGCCAAGATGGCCAAGTGCTTGGGACCCTGCTACACATGTAGGAGACCTGGGTGAAGCTCCTGGCTTTGGCCTTGCCCAGTGCTGGCCACTGTAGCCATCTGGGGAGGGAACCAGCAGATGGAAGATCTCTCTTTGTGTCTCTCTATCTCTCTGTAACTCTGACTTTCAAATGAATAAATCTTTAAAAATGTGTAATTTTTAAATCAGATGTTACATAAAAATTTTAAACAAATTTCACAAGTCTTTAAGAAAATGGTAAGTGAAAAATATGATTTTTGGTTTCTCAGTGATTTTCTGGCAAGATTCTGGAAATGCTTAAGTAGAGTTATAGGTTGTATCTCCTCTCCCCAAAAGATAAGTTAAAATCTTAACCTCCAAGCCAGTGCTGTGGCTCACTAGGCTAATCCTCCGCCTGTGGTGCTGGCACCCCGGGTTCTAGTCCCGGTTGGGGCGCCGGATTCTGTCCCGGTTGCGCCTCTTCCAGTTCAGCTCTCTGCTGTGGCCCGGGAGTGCAGTGGAGGATGGCCCAAGTCCTTGGGCCCTGCACCTGCGTGGGAGACCAGGAGAAGCACCTGGCTCCTGGATTCGGATCGATGTGGTGCACCAGCCGCAACACGCCAGTTGTAGCGGCCATTTGGTGGGTGAACCAACGGAAAAAGGAAGACCTTTATTTGTCTGTCTGTCTGTCTGTGTCTCTCTCTCTCTCTCTCACTGTCTAATTCTGCCTGTAAAAAAAAAAATCTTAAACTCCAGAACATCATATCTTATTTTCGATGTAGGACTGTAGTAGATGTAAGTAGTAATGATGAAGTAATTCTGTAGTAGGGTGTGTCTCTAATTAAAGATGACTGGTGTCCTGTTAGGAAGAGAAGAGACAGATGCACAGGAAGGCCACCGATACTTAGAGACAGAATTGAAGTGAAACATCTACAAATCAGGGAAAAGCAATGATGGGCTTCACCAGGAGCCAGGTGAGGGGCACGAAACAGTTTCACTCAAACCCCTCAGCAGGAAACAATCCTGTCGGTACCCTGACTTTGGACTTAAAGCCTCCAGAAATTAGCTTGAGGGACTTTGTTATGTCAGCCATAAGAAGCTCAGATTAATGGTCAGAGCAGACCTGGAAAATCCCCCCCCCCTCAGTTATCAGCTTGTCCCCATTTCAGAAGCTGGTCTCTATTACTTTTGCCTGATTTGAATTGTCTCCTTGTTTGACAGAGAGAACTTTCAATTGAGTTTCTCATTTCACAATCAGGGCACTCCTCTTACAGAAATGTTATAAAATAGAAAGCACTCAAAAATTCTCACAGTTCTCACTATATAGTCTATTGAGTTTAATACATCTCTTTTGTTTTCTTTGATTATAATGTATATGAATTAGCTGTTGAGATTTGTATGTTCTAGGTCTTCTCTATCATGTGGTATTCATGACAATTTAACAATACCATATGCTCGCAGATGAAGGAAAAATAATCCCAGGACAAGTGGCCAAGACCTTAGCCCCCTAGGTGGGGTTGCTCAAGGTTCATGGTACGTTCTATTCCTGAGTCTTTTTATTGATTAAGAACAGATGGGCACTAAACTCTAGGAGGCTTGGAAAAATCCTGGTATTTGACGATTTTCCAAGGCAAAGTGAGAGACGATGGTCAGTGTTAGTTTGACTTGGCAATGGCACCAGGCTATTAAAATAATGACAACCAGTAGACGGTAGTAAGACTCAAGGATATCTGCCTTTCATTCTATTATCTATCAGTTCAGGGTTCACCAATTACATGTATTAACTTGGATTTTAATACGAGCCAAAATTTTCCTGATTGTTTAGTTCATTTTGTTTCCAACTATAGCTGCTACTGGGATTAACTTGTTATAAGAGTTAAAATGAGATGAAAATTTTCCACTTAAGTGTAACATAGGTTACAACAGTGTAGAAACTGAGGTAAACTTCAATTCACCACATCCTGATAATGTTTGTTTATTTGTGAAATAAAAGCCACACAGCCTTCCTTCAGTACAACAGTGTCCTTAAGTCAATGAAGTGATTTTATCAACTAGCTTCTATAAAATCATTGAGAACATAACCCTGGCAGAAAACTCAAGGTAGCATGAGTTTATTTGATTAATTTGTGGCAGTAAATTTGTTGGCCGAAGGCTAGAGTAGTCCAAACTTTCTACATTATGAGTGGAGTGTTCTAATGTGGCACCTACTCTCCCTTAGAGCAAAACCAGCTGCTATCACAGATCCTTAGATGAACTGGAAATAACTAATTGAAACAGAGGAACTAAAATAAGCTTATTTTTTGGTAACTATGACCTTAGTTTTTAGTAGGTGAACAGCTTATCCCCAACCTGAGGGATGTCAGAACAGAATGAGTTTCTTCTGATACCATGAGCCACAGACAAGGTGACCTTGAAGTAGTCTTCACTGTTGACAATGAGAAATGGTATTCATAAGTTTTGAAACCCACTCTGCTGTTTACTAAGTGTGTGACCTTACAAAAGTCACTTAACTTCTACATGTCATTTTTTTTTAATGTGTGAGAAGAAGCTTACTAGAATAAAACTTAAGTGATCTGGCACTTGAATTCCTAGTGCTGGATCCAATTTAATAATTCTTCTTGGAATGAGAAATAATACACAGAAGTAGGAGTAACAGCATTGAACTTTATTATAGATAACAACATAAAACCTAGGTCTATCACCAAGATCAGTTTATACTAAAAAAGGTCTATATAGGAATCAAGGATTTTGAAATTGTCATTGGGTATCTAAAACATTTTCCTCTAATAGGCAATATTTTTCCCTAAAAAGGCAAGAGGCTATAGTGATACAGTAAGAAGGGTATTTTTATGTATTTCAACATCTTTTTCAAATAGAGAGTAAATATAATTCTCACTGTATTACCAACTGTGTTTTCTTGTCTTCGGTGACACCACATTCCTCTGTCTCTGCAGTTCCTTCTGTTTATGCTCCTTCGTTTGTTTTCCCTTAACTGGTCAGCATATGTTGGAGTTCCTTAGGTCTGGGCCTGGGCCTTATTCTC